GTAGCTTATGACCTTGGAAGCACAAGGGCAAAAGCTCGTCCACGAAAGCCGCCATGAAAGTTGGTGACTCCGCCCGCGATGAAAAATTGCGGGACTTTAATGATATTTCTCATCCGCCAAAATCCACTGCGAGCTTTCGCGTCGTGCTTTTGACAGGCAGTTCTCCTGGAGGCATAGTGCCCTGGGCTAAAATTTGAGCGCTCAAATCTCATTCGGAGAGCCGGCAGAAGCTGTCAAAGTTTCGTATATTTCGCCCTCCGTTTCTCGGAAACTAAGCTGTGCCTGAGCTTGCGCTTCGAGCTTGCAGTAGCTTATGACCTTGGAAGCACAATGACAAAAGCTCGTCCGCGAAAGCCGCCATGAAAATTGGTGACTCCGCCCGCGATGAAAAATTGCGGGATTTTAATGATATTTCTCACGCCAAAATCGGGTGCGAGCTTTCGCGTCGAGCTTTTGGCCGGTAGTTGTCCTGGAGGTATAGAGTCCTGTGCTAAAATTTGAGCGCTCAAATCTCATTGGGAGAGCCGGCAGAAGTTGTGAAATTTTCGTATCTTTCGCCCTCTGTTTCTCGTAATGAAAGCCAATTTGCAGTTTGCGCTGTGAGTTTTCTGTGACAGGATTCATGTAATTGTTATTGTCAATTTTTTTTTGTGTTTGTGTTTGTTAAATAATCGATTCTTCTTTCAGAGAGCAGACCATCGCTCGAAAATGGGGTTGAAACGGCGGCGCAACAAAACAGGGCATCGATGAAGTTATTAATTCGTTTGTAAGGGAGGGTGTCGAAGAAAATGATGACCGCCATGGCTAGATTGCCTTGCAAGCAGACTTCGCCTTCGCAGCAGCCGCGGGTGAATAATTTCGGGAACAGTCGAAATGCCTACTGGAACATGCAACCTAGGCATCCAGCACCTCCTTATGTGAGGAATCATCAACGGCACACAGACCATACCGGTAAGCATATCGGTGATTTATTATTAACCTCTTCTTCAGCCACGTGTTGCTGTTCTTCGAAGGTGAAGGTCGAGGAGTTTGCTTTTCATGACCAACCCTGCTTTTCTTTTCATTTTTTTTTTTTTTAAACGTGTCATTTTGTAACCTGTAATATCTCCGGGACTAGGGGATACTCGCGCTATAAAGGTGGCTTTGAAGAAGCAAGGTATTTATATCTTCCGTAATTTCTGCGTGTGTTCGATATGTGCTTCGAGGGTACGTTTTCCTCCGAGGTGCGTATTGCATGCGACTGATAAACGTCAGCGAAACTGGACAGAAAGTGATTCCATGTTTAAAAATATGTCGAAATGAAATAATAACATTTTTCCGTTCTACGCTCTGTTTTTGAGAAAATCGATGTTGAAAATTCATGGAGTGCGCTTTCTTTTGTTGATCTAAATGCTATGAATTGTTCTCTTGACATTATCTGTTCGTGTTAATTAACATTTGAAGTATTTTTGCACGCCTGTTAATATTATTTCTTTTTAAGACACTCGAATGGTCTTAAAAATAGTCGACATCCAAGCTGACATGTTTGATGTGTAATTAAATTTACTCGTGCCCATGAATTTTTAATTGTTATCTTCTCAAAAAACGAAGGCACGAAGAAGAAAATTATATTCTTTCTTTTCGGCTTATTTTCAGATATAGAATTGTCCTCTGCCGGTTTGTACCCTCAGTTATCAGACACCTTGTATATTAACCCTTCGCACTCGAAGGCGACTGTGAGTCGCCACTTGTTTTGATGGCGTAACCCGAATGGCGAGTGACCACGCGAAGCGAGATTATGAAGATTGATAGTCGGTATTAAGCTTAAAATATTGTAAGAACTTTTGAAATAAAAGAATCGCGTGTTATAATTTATACGGGAGTTCTTTTTATGTTGTAAGACGATGTCATCGATTTTATAACAGAGAAGCTACGAAGTGCTACACCCTCGTAGCGAAGAAGCCTTCTAATGTAAAGGGTCTGCATCTAATTTAATAATTAGATTAATAATAATATGTATTATATTAATGTATACATCATTATAATAATTTATAAATTATATCAAAAATGAAATTGTACTTTACAAAATATAGTGAGAAATTATACGTCTTTTATCATAACATATGTGTATTCTTTCTTTATTCAAATCCAAAAAAGCTATTTCTCGAGAGTTACATGTGAGACGTTGACTGGCCACATCGATTAAGTTCATTTTTCGAATTTATTGAAATTTCGGTACAAAACGCGTCGTTAAAGATTTACTTTGTATATGTAAAATAAATTTCTACCCTTTATTTTATGGAGTTAATCGATTTGGCAAATGAACGTTTCATATGCGGCACGTGCACGCGTAGTTAAGATGACTTTCAACGGAAGTAAAAATAAAAATTAAAATTAAAAAGAAATACGAGAGAAAATGAATACGAATGAAAAGAAAAAAAAAGTAAAAAGAAAAAAGTAAAAAAAAGGAAAAAATAAAAATAAAAATAAAAACAAATAAATATAATTTATTTATTGAAATAAATTAACATGCAGAATTACTTTCTTTCAGTATTCCATCTATCGTTGCAATGTTCTAATCGAGATATCAACTATAAATCTTCAGAATTTTCGCGCGTGACAGCCGAGAGTCGCGACTCAAGTGCAAAGGGTTAAATCTACCTTTCGGGCCATGGTTCGAATCTGTAACAAAACGGTGTGCAATGCAAAATTTCGACAGATAGGGAAACAGCAGGATGCTGAAAGAAGCGTTTTAATTAAAAGTTACTTAACTGAGACTCGATTCCTTGCACGGGTACAGACTTCTGCGATTCATAACTCTTCATTATTTACGCCGCGTGCCGTACAACCTTCCTACGGGTAACGTTACATCCTTGAACGAACTTCCTATCGAGCGGACCGTTTTATCTTCACCCTTCACCGTTATCGTCATTAATTATCCTTTTTACGGCTCGCGCTCGAAAAGCCTGTTCCATCGTAACGATCTTTGACAAGTTACCAGGTACTCGCAGATACGTCACGACATCGCCTAATATTTGCATCGAGGGTCCATCAGTCTCTATCTCTTTCTAAAAATGATCTTATATCTAGAACTATATCTAACTATATCTAAATACGATAAATATCTTAACCTAAATGCGTAGTTCTTAGCTTGATATAATTTTCTAAAGAACAATCTTTAGAATATTATACCAATTACCAGGTCCCACCACGTGGAGGTGACTACGCATCGAGACCCGGACATGCACCCTAATGGCGCAATCCTACTGTCGCATTCCATATCAAGGATAAGCTAGTCTAACTTGGAGCGAACTAAGTTAAAGTGACTCTACTGACACTTGTAAAATTTCGTGTCTTATAAAAGGGGTTTCGGTTCGGTATACTAAAATTTATACTCTACTGTCGCAACTCTAATGTATTTCGTTTCAACAGACTCTAATATTTCTAAGTTCCCACAAAATTAGGGAATCGAATATTAAAAACGCGAGCAAACTAAGTTAAAATCGCGACGCGCCCGAACGAGATCGCGATCATTCGATAGACCGACTAGCCTACGAGACGTACTCTCGTGTACAAGACAACTCCATACCTCGGCACCCTCCCGATCGAACCTAGCCCACCCAGCCACCACAGACCCTGCCATGACTTACTCGCAAACGAGAGCGATCGACGAACCAATGAAACATCCAAAATCAAGCCGAGGGTCCCTAGCGAGGCCCTGCAGCCGGTCACGCAGGCCCCTGCCACATGGGGGAGAAATTAATCATCCCATGGGGACTGACCGCAGGCCCATATGCAGTGTCACGGCTACAGGGCCCATACCCCGGTCGTGCACGCGCTGGTGCCCAGGACGACTAGGGCCGACAGACCCTCGAATTGACCCAGATGAGTGCCAGCCCGCCGACCACCCTAGAACCGACGCATGACAAGGGTGGCAGTGGCGAGGATGAGTGTCGGAACGAATCGTTTGGATGACTTATGAAACATGCAGTTATCAAGTACACGAGAGTACGTCGCGAGGCTAGTCGGTACTAAGAACAATCGCGATTATCGCGAGAACAATCATGTTCTATTTGGTAAACGGGAGGGATAAAAGGAGAAAGATAGAGAATTTATATATTTCGCTCCAAGTTAGGTACCTTACCTTAGTATGAAAAGCGCGCACATGAAACTTAGCCTAGGGATCTATCTTATAATTACTTACAACTACTTAGATCTAAACACACGCATCTCACGTCGTCCAACGATGTCTTCCAAGTAAAATCTGAAACAGAAAATGTAGATAAACCTGTAAAGAAAATAGATTAGACATGAAAGAAAATGGATTAGAATGCGGATACGAAATGGAAATGAAACGAATAGGAGTAACAAAGAATGAAACAAATGGAATAGACAAGCCAACGACGAAACATTCGAATGTTAAATCGAACATAAATAGAAATGGACAAATAAAACCAGAAAACAAAATTCCATTAGAAATGTCTAATAAAAGAATTGAGGATGGTAAGATGGACAATGGCTATCGATTAGCCAAATGACCATCGACCATCCCAAACAACGATCAACCCAACGATGATCAATAAACAAACCAACAACGAGAACATTCGAATATTATACGAAATATTCGAATTTTAAAAAAACAAAAGAATAATAAAAACCAGAATATAAAATCTGAAAAGTAAATAAATAAAACCTGAAAGAAAATTATTAAATTAAACGAGATGTGGAGTACGAGGTAGCCAAAGGCCTAGCTACTGGCCACCGACCTCCTTATCCCCACCACCAACCCCTTAACCTCACCACCAGTCCACCCTGGTGAAAACTTCGATGTGAACCCTCTGAGGTCCACCCGACAAATGACTCGAGCCGCCGAGCGGCGGCCTTTATATAGACGGCGGCCGACTGCCGAAATTGGCCGAAAGTGCCCGACTGTTGCCGATTTCATTATTCAGCGTTTCTCGACTATAACAACCTATAATTTATTACTTTTTTTTACTGTTATTGTAAATTTATATTAAGGACAATTTGTTAATAACAATATGAAATTGTTATTAACAATATATGATATAATTTATTTAATTCTTGCAAATTGCTTTTTATGTTCTCTTAGCATAAATTTTCGTGATATACCTGCGTTTAAATATTTGTAATATTTCTCAAAAGTTAAAAAATTTACTTAATTAACATCTTTGCATAAACAATCGTACCTATTATTGCATTATAAAATTAATTATTGCATTATAAAATTAATAATACGAAAGCATATAATTTATCTTGGATCGAAAAATTTCATTATACACATAATACACACATTATACAATTTCATTTTAAATTTTATTTATAAATCTTAACTATATTTTAAATAAATATTATTTATTTATTGCCCAATAAGTATCGTTGATATTTTCGAATTCCTTAATAATAATTTTCAATTTTTACTTCGTGCACTTCCGATACATCGCGTTCCGTCGCAGTTTCACTCGACATTTTTAACGCGCGTAATACAAATTACTGTGATGAGCGTAACAATTTGTAAACGGCAAGAAATGCTCGCGGAAAGTTGCGGAAGGTGAAAAGTGGATGGAAAAAATAAGTTTATTCAGGTGAGAAGTTGGTAATTCGCGAAACTTTCCTCATTTTTGTCCTCGCCAACTTTTTTCCTATCATTTGTCAAGGGAAATGGTAAAAATCGCAGTTCCGCAATGTTTCCCGAGATTCCTCGAGGAACGAGCCTGCACCTCGCAGTTACACGCTTCCGTGTCATCGCAGAGAGCCACGGTGAGCTTTGAGTTTCCGTCTGTTCATCCTTTTTCTTATCTCCGTCCCGACGCGTTATTATCGCAGCCTGCAGGCCCTTTCAAAAGAGAGTCTGTCACAATGTGTCAAACACGTGTCATCGGCTACCATGACTGACGTGAGCCTAACAAGCGTTACCAAGAAGTTTCAAGTCAGTTTCAGTCTCGAAGGGAACGATTGAC